ACAGGTACTGAAACTGGTTGTATCTCATGATTTTGACCATTGTAGTAGTGGCAGGTATCGCGCAAAGCAGACCATGCTTAAATCTTTTTGAAACATCTGGTGGTTCTTCTCTTTGGCAGAGTCCACTACTATACTACTTTTTTTTCCATGCTTTTGATGAGATTTTATAACGGAATTGTCTTGCTTGTACAGATTTTTATTATAGTTTTATTTTTAGGTAGTCAAATGTAAAAAAGAAAAGATATTATTGAGATCTGAGTCTAATGTTGGTCAGATAGAAACATTAACCAGTCTTACACCATTGAACGAAGCTACAGGTAATATCAAACACTAGTCTTCTAATGTGTATCAGGCACACTGATTGCATCAATTTCAGTGTTGTGCTGTTATCCCTAACACTCTGGTATATTTCAGTGTTGTGCTGTTATCCCTAGCACTCTGTTATATTTAAGTGCTGTGCTGTTATCTTTAACACTCTGTTATATATTTCAGTGTTGTGCTGTTATCCCTAACACTCTGGTATATATTTCAGTGTTGTGCTGTTATCCCTAACACTCTGTTATATATTTCAGTGTTGTGCTGTTATCCCTAACACTCTGTTATATATTTCAGTGTTGTGCTGTTATCCCTAACACTCTGTTATATATTTCAGTGTTGTGCTGTTATCCCTAACACTCTGGTATATTTCAGTGTTGTGCTGTTATCCCTAACACTCTGTTATATATTTCGGTGTTGTGTTGTTATCTCTAACTCTCTGTTATATATTTCAGTGTTGTGCTGTTATCCCTAACACTCTGTTATATATTTCAGTGTTGTGCTGTTATCCCTAACACTCTGTTATATATTTCAGTGTTGTGCTGTTATCCCTAACACTCTGTTATATATTTCAGTGTTGTGCTGTTATCCCTAACACTCTGTTATATATTTCAGTGTTGTGCTGTTATCTCTAACACTCTGTTATATATTTCTGTATTGTGCTGTTATCCCTAACACTCTGTTATATATTTCAGTGTTGTGCTGTTATCTCTAACACCCTGTTATATATTTCAGTGTTGTGCTGTTATCTCTAACACTCTGTTATATATTTCAGTGTTGTGCTGTTATCTCTAACACTCTGTTATATATTTTAGTGTTGTGCTGTTATCCCTAACACCCTGTTATATATTTCAGTGTTGTGCTGTTATCCCTAACACTCTGTTATATATTTCAGTGTTGTGCTGTTATCCCTAACACTCTGTTATATATTTCAGTGTTGTGCTGTTATCTCTAACACCCTGTTATATATTTCAGTGTTGTGCTGTTATCTTTAACACTCTGTTATATATTTCAGTGTTGTGCTGTTATCTTTAACACTCTGTTATATATTTCAGTGTTGTGCTGTTATCC